CTCTTGGCAAAACTCTATTAGCCTTTGCCCTGCTTCATTCTGTACTCCAAGGCCAAATTTGCCTGTTACTCCAGGTGTTTCTTGACTTCCTACTTTTGCATTCTAGTCGCCTATAATGAAAAGGACATCTTTTTTGGGTGTTTGTTCTAGAAGGTCTTGTAGGTCTTCATAGAAACGTTCAACATCTTCAGCATTACTGGTCAGGGCATAGACTTGGATTACCGTGATATTGAATGGCTTGCTTTGGAAATGAACAGACCTCATTCTGTCGTTTTTGAAATTGCACCCAAGTACTGCATTCTGGACTCTTTTGTTGACTATGATGGCTACTCCATTTCTTCTAAGGGATTCTTGCCCTTAGTAGATATAATGGTCATCTGAGTTAAATTCATCCATTTCAGTCCATTTTAGTTCGCTAATTCCTAAAATGTCAATGTTCACTTTTGCCATCCCTGTTTGATCACTTCTAATTTGCCTTGATTCATGGACCTAACATTCCAGGTTCCTATGCAATATTGCTCTTTACAGCATCAGACCTTGCTTCCATCACCAGTCACATCCACAGCTGGGTGCTGTTTTTGCTTTGGCTCCATCTCTTCATTCTTTCTGGAGTTGTTTCTCCACTGATCTCCAGTAGAATATTGGGCACCTACCGACCTGGGGAGTTCATCTTTCAGTGTCTTATCTTTTTGCCTTTTCATACTGTTCATGGGGTTCTCAGGCAAGAATACTGAAGTTGCTTGCCATTCCCTTCTCCAGTGGACCCCTGTTGTCAGAACTCTCCACCATGACCCATCTGTCCTGGGTGGCCCTACATGGCATGGCTTATAGTTTCATTGAGTTAGACATGGCTGTGGTTCATGTGATTAGATTGGTTAGTTTTCTGTGATTGTGGTTTTCAGGGTGTCTACCCTCTGATGGAGAAGGTTAAGAAGCTTATGGAAGCTTCTTTATGGGACAGACTGACTGAGGGGGAAACTGGGTCTTGTTCTGATGGGTGGGGCCATGCTCAGTAAATCTTTAATCCAATTTTCTGTTGATAGGTGGAGCTGTGTTCCCTCCCTGCTGTTTACCTGGGGCCTAACTATGGTGGTAAAGAAGATAATGGTGACCTCCCTCCAAAGATCCCATGCATGTACTGCTACACTCAGTGCCCCCAACCCTGCAGCAGGCCACCACCGACCCATGACTCTGCCGGAGACTCCTGGACACCCACATGCAAGTCTGGGACAGTCTCTTGTGGGGTTACTGCTCCTTTCTCCTGGGTCCTGGTGCACAAGGTTCTGTTGTGCCCTCCAAGAGTCTATTTCCCAGTCCAGTGCAAGTTCTGGCAGCTCTATGGTGGGGTTAATGGTGACCTCCTCCAAGAGGGTTCATGCCATATCCAAGTGTGCTGCACCCAGAGCTCCTGTTCCTGTGGCAGACTACCGCCGACCCAGGTACAGGCATATAAGCCCTCCTAAATGAAAAAGATCATGTGAACAGTGCTTAGCTAAAATCAATTAAGTCAGTGATTAGTAGGGACCACGCACAAGCTGTAGGTAGTTCATGAACCCCTAAAATTACGTCCAAAACTTTGTGGAGGAAGGTTTTAATCAACAAGATATTCTTTACAGAAATAAGTGCCACCAAGGAGTCAGTGCCTATTTCACATATTAAACAAAAGTTTTAATTAATTTGAACTTGGTTAAGATGATTCAATGAGCAGAAACTTTCAGGGAGGAAGAAAAGGAATACATAATTTTTAACAGTTTAAACTCCTATGGGGAGGCAGATATAATAGAGAACTACTACTTTGGGATTGATGCCATCATTCATCTTTATTAGGATACTAGAAACTCTATGTGTGGTGATTTAGTCACTGAGTTGTGTCCAACTCTGGAGACCTCATGGACTGTAGCCTGCAAGGCTTCCCTGTCCATGGGATTCTACAGTCAAGAATACTGGGGTGGGTTGCCATTTCCTTCTCCAGAGGATGTTCCTGACCCAGGAATCGAACCAAGGTCTCCTACATTGCAGGCTGATTCCTTACCAATTGAGCTATGAGGGAAGCCCATTAAACTCTTCTGAGGCTCTCTAAATTTCACTGATTGACATCACAAAGAAGAATAAGGATAGGTCCATTAAAGGAAAAGAAGTGATGTGTTTCAGAGTTGAGCAGGGAGTAAAATTCAACATGAGATATGGGGAAAATAAAAAGGTAGAATTTTTATGTAATGAATTAAGAATTCCATGGAGAAGTAGAGATGAACCCCCAGGAAAGGGATGGTTTCAACTCAACTATAAAAAGACACAGATGGAGAACAATGTGAAAGACATAATCTAAGGGAGTGAGAAACTCTTACATAGGTACATATGTAAGACAAGTAAGAGATAAAGTAAGTGACAATCTCTGGCAGCGCTGATCTGAAACATGCTCTAAGTTATATTACTCCTTTAATGAAGTATGAGCTATCCAATGTACAGAGGGCACTTTCTCGTGTCTTCCCTATAATTCTTCACCTGTGCCATTGCTAGAAAATTAGAGATGAAGTCCTGCTACAGGTGGTGAAATGAAAAGGAAGGGATTCCTTTCGTTTTATCTTCTAAGGAAAAACAAAACATACCACCTATTCATCTTTTACAGGACAGAGAAAATATGTTTACTTTCTAAAAGCCTAAGTGACTACAGAGCAAAAGGAGCCTGGGTTAAAAACAGTGAATACTAGTTGAGATTAGAACCCATATAATTAAATATTTTATATATAAGTTATGTAATGGCTTACTTTTTTATTGTCCTGGTTCATGTCAGGTGATATGGGCTTAAAAACTAATCTTCTTTTCAGAAGCTTTTAGAAGAACACTGAAAAATGGAGAACAAGACATACCTAACTGCTGGAACAGGAGGGCCACACTAGTTCCTGTGACAGGAAGACTATCATGCAAGGGAGTCTGGATCAGTTGTCTGTCTCCTGCACCCAAGGAAAACAGCTTCTGCAGAATGGGAGGAAAACACATACACACAACAAATGATTTCTTTTCACACATTTTCTCAAGATAAAAAAAAACCCTTTGAAGTTCAAATTTAGAGCAGATGATGGTCATATAAGACTCAATTGTGAAGGGCAATAAGGCAGCTCAAAACATTCAAGTTACTTTGTGCCCAACTGAATATGATACAAGAAAATTCAGTAGTTGGAAGGTGAAAATTTAGTAATAATGAAACATACAAATCACTGACAGTAACATGTAACTAAAAAATAATAAAATGTTAAAGCTAACATTTATATGCCAGTTATATGTCAATAAAACTGGAAAAATAAAAGAAATATGGTAATATGAAACATACAATTTAAAAACTTCTAATAGTCACAATAAAAATCCTTTTAAATTAAAAAATACATAAAATCATGTCAATAAAAATTTCATCGTAATAAAGGCTCATAAAATAATTCATCTGCTTTACAGTTTAGGTTCAATTGTGACTAAACTCACATTTCATATTCTGCTCTTGGAGTACAAACAGAGAATGAGGGAGGAGAGTGCAGAAGGAAAATAAACTTAAGAGTAACCAAAAGACACTAGGAAAGATAGTAGATAGTTAAAAAGGCAAAGGGCAAGGAAAAAAGATGTCAATTTTACCATAAGTAACATCTCTTTTTTTTATCTATCAGAGTTTAAAAAATGTAATTTTTAGAGGGCTGTTCTTTCCCTCGTTATTACATAAGAATAAGCATAATAAGTGGTCAGCTAATCAATTTTAGGACTTAAGTAGTTTTTTTAAGTTACTTAGGACCATTCAGTCACACAAGCTGAGGTTCTCATTTTTCTACTTCAGAGAAGAAGATAAAAATTTCAAGACACAGAGAAGATGAAAGACATGTCACTTTGAGAAAGCTTTATTTCAGTATAAGAGTTTAATGTCCTCATGGGCTCAATCTATGTATAATGAAATTCTTTAAGGTATAGATTATACTTTCCAAAGATCTGTGATTTTGGACAATGGTCAATATCATCATTATTATTATTATTAAAGGTAGAGAACTGAGATGAGAAAAATAAGCCCTCTTCTTCTGAAGCTTAAGTACAAGCTATTCTACTAAACATTACACACAACATACAAAATGGTTTTAAGGACCACATATAACTGATTTTATCCAAGGAAATGAAGAAATGAATTAATCTATCCAGGGCTAGTTACAATGTTACAAAAAATTATACTGACAGTTTTCTTAATGTTATCTCTGAATTTTTGTCACTGAAAAAAATTTTAATAAAATGAGGTGTAATCATATAGAGGAATAAACATGGTATAAAGAACACATTTGAAGTTCAATTTTAAAAAGTGCATTCCTAAGAAAATGTAAGCTAGATTTCAAGTTACACAGAATATAACTTCTAACTATGCTATGCGAAAGGTGAAACCTGTGTTAAAATTAACCCCATGACCTAAGAAAAGAATGGAATCTTGTGTTTCTAAAAGGAAGACCACAGGGACAATGCTTAACTAAACTAAGACTTTTTTTTTTTCTCCCAAGGATTGAACTCTCGCCCCATGCGTTGGAAGGGCGGAGTCTTAACCACTGGACCGCCAGGGAAGTCCCCTAAGACCCACTTTAAAAAGAAAATATTTAAAGAATTCGTTTTTTTTCCTTTTCTTCATAAATTAAATTAACTGGAGGAGAGGAGAAGAGAAGCAGGCCCTCTTCATCTTCTTTTTCATTTTGTTTACCTGAGACCCTCCAGCCGCTGGGACAAGACACGCACACAAGTTTGCAATGAGACTTTCCAAGGAGACATTCAGACTGTCCACATATACAGTGTAGATCAAACCCAGACAAGCCTGAAAACAAAAGATGCATGTAGTTATTTCATGGAAAAAGCAAGCACTAAAAATAAATTGTGACATCTGCTCCAGGGAAAGTTTCTCTTTGAACATAGTATATTCTACAGTGACCATGGAATAAATTTTAAGCAGCAAATGTTATTAAGTTTATTAAATTTTCCTCCAGAACCAGAAGCTCTAAATGAGCTTCTAAGATGAGTTTATAAAAAACAGAAATACATAATTTGTAAAACAGGTGTTTGTGTTCAGATAACCACTCCAGCAAATTTGTAAGACTTAAAACTCTTTTTGTCTCAACTTATTTTGCAAAACTCCAATTTTCAAGATAAAAATTTAGAAACGTTACCTTATTTTGTGATTCTCAATAATTCAGAACATTTATTTTACAGAAAAATTTAACTTACGTGAATTATTATAAAGAATAGCAAAATAGAGAATATATGATTAACAATTTAAGCTCAGAAGGTAGGTGGTAAAATGGAGGAGAAAGTGGAATCATATGAATCTTCCAGTTTATTAAAATTTATAATTAAAAAATTAGTATCTGTTGCTGCTGCTGCTGCTAAGTCATTTCAGTCTTATCCAACACTGTGCGACCCTGCAGATGGCAGTCCACCAGGCTCCTCTGTCCCTGGGATTCTCCAGGCAAGAACACCATTAGGAGTTACCAATTGTCATTGAAATCTTGACACTAAGAATATATATAATCTCAACTATACAGAAAAGTTTTCCAGAAATTATGCATTAATTTATCAAATCCTTGAGAGATTTTAAGGTATAGTTTATACTTTCTAAAGAAGATCTGTGATTTCTTGACAATGGTCAACATAACTAATATTAAAGACAGCAACTGAAGTAAGAAAAATAAGCCCTCTTCCCTTTCAAATGTATTTATAACTACAGTAAATTTTTTTCTATATTTGAAAATTCTAACTATCTAAAAAGTAAAATATCTGGAAGTAAACTATTTTAAAGCTATGTTGGTAGCTATGATCACAACTATTTGAACAAATACTCATCCTATTTCCTTTCATCTGGACTCCTAAAAATATCAGTAAAAACACACTAAGTTGTTACATTACTAATGCATTTTGAACTTGATACAAGTAATCAAATGATTTCTTTACGATTCATAAATTTTGGAGTCAGTATAGATGGGACCTATTGTAAAACAAATTAAACATCCTTAAATATAAGGATTTTTAAACATCCTTAGAAGTTTAAATAGTAATACTAACTTATTCAAGTATTTATTTCATCCAACATGAAATTCATTTCTTCTGCTCACAGCAATTTTATTTTATGGATGAATTCCCAATCAATTTAAAGATATTTTAGGTACAAAAAAACCTGTCACCATGGTTCACTCAGAATAGATGTATACAATGATACAAATCAATAACAACAACTATGAGTTCTTTACCCTAAAAATTTCTGGATAATCTAATCTGGATACCAACACCAGGCTTTTGGGAGCAAACACTTCTGCAGGCTGAATTAAACCAGACACTTCCACTTCACCTTCAGTCTCTTCCTTCTTTGTTCCCTAAAAAAGAAGACACTGTAATCAACAGACAGACAATTTCCTAGGTTTATAACTCACAAAATGTAGACATATCACATACTTCCATGTAATTTATAAAATCCATAATTAATTACAAAATATAATTTACAAAACTCAAACTAAAAACAAAGAATATACTTTGAGAGGAATCTAAGAAGCAAGTAGGCAAGGAAACTATGAAGCAGGGCATACTCATTTCATTTCTGAAAATCCTTAAGCTCCAGATATACAGCACAATTTTATTTGAACATTTGGTTTCTATATGAGGTACCAGTAATAGAAGGTAAATAAAACACAATTCATCACTGACTAGACAAATAGAAATGACACCTAATGGAAATTCAGTTTTTAAGACAAGAAAAAGAAATCTGTTTTAGAAGTAAGACACTACTTTTCATTTTTGTTTTTTGGACTTCTCCCAGTCTTTCAAACAGAAGAGATAATAGTTTAGGATTATCTTGCAGAATGCTCTTACAAGTAAAGTCCAAACAGCTCTGAATTCTTTTTTCTCAGGAGGAACAATGTTGATTTTTTTAAAAACAGAGGATATTTTTATATACATAACTAAGTTTCAGAATGTACCTAGTTGTCACTGAGCTGTAAAGTTAAAAATAGTTGAAGTGTAAAGCTTATGTCATGCATATTTTATGAGCACAATAAAAATATCTGGAATTTTTTTTAAAACCCTAAATATTGAGTGATTACATGCTGGTTAATTTAATAAACTTGGAAAGTATTACTCTGGGGCTTCCCTAATGTTCTGGTGGCTAAGAATCCACCTTGCAGTGCAGGGGACACTGGTTCCAGCCCTGGCTCGGGAAGATCTCACAATGCGGCAGAGCAACTACGTGCTTGCCCCACTGACGACTTAGTCTGCACTCTGGAGCCCGTGAGCTGCAACTACTGAGGCCTGCATGCCCTGGAGCCCATGCTCCACAATAAGAGATGCTACCGCAACGAGAAGGATTGATGCCTGTGCACCGCAACTAGAGAGGAGCTCCCACTCTCTGCAACTGGAGAAAGCCTGTGCACAGCAACAAATACCCAGTGCACCCAAAAATAAAATAAATATATAAAAAGAAAAATATTATTCTCATTTATAAGCAACACATATTTCCTGTGCACCTACTGCTCCATAACACTATATGATGCACTATAAAAGTTTCAAGAGAAAAGAAAAAACCAAGATAGAAAAATATTCAAATTTATTTCCAAATTATATTCTAAGATGCTAGGACATTTTCCCTGACTAGAATCCTTTTCTCTTTCCTTTCCACTAATCAAAGGTCCAGGAGCTTAGAATTTATCTTGGTTCTCGAAGGATTTCCTTCACTGATTTTTTTCTTCAACTGTTAATTCTTAGCAGTGTTCATCAACATTGTACATACCTGCTCATACTTATTTCTCCTGCCAAGCTTCTTCCCGAAATGCCACAAAATGCTGATTCAATTGCCTGCTTGACCTCTCCACTTAGATGACAAATAAGTATCTCAAATATGACAAAAATATAGCTCCAGTCGTTTTCCCCAAACTCCACTCCTCCTGCAGTAATCTCTTACCTCAGTTAAAGGAAATTCTATCCTCCCATTTAGCAAATCAAAAATACTGATTCCTCTCTCTTTCATAACCTTGGCAGCAATCCCAATTTCTTACCACCCTCCACTGCTACCACAGGACTGTGAGCTACTATCGTCACTTTTCTGGGTTATTTGATCAGCTCCCTTTAGTCTTCTCCATTCCTCTTTAGCCCTACTTTGCTTCCCCGCTGCTCCTCAAATGTGCTGGACATGTTCCCAGGTAAGGGTCTCAAACACTTTATTATTCCTTTGCCTGGGACAGAAACAATTCCCTCATCTCCCTCATCCTCCCATTCAAGCAAACTTCTGCTCTATTAAGGCTTTGCTGGTACCCTACTTGAGAAACTGCAATATCCTCACCCCACCTATGTCCCCGTTGCTTATTTTATTTTTCTCCATGGCACTTGTTACCATCCAACATTTCACTAATATTGTCTTCTGGTTTTTGCCTCAACTAGAATGTGCTCCATGAAGACCAGGATTTCTGTTTTTGTTCACTGGTGATTTCCCAGTTTCTAAAACAAGAGGTGGGCACATAGTTGATATTTATATAATATTTATTCACTGTATTCACGCAGGAATGAATTCTCTTACATAAAATTAAAAATTTTCTTATTTTACCAAGGGAAGTTTTTCACCCCTACTCAAGGAGGCCAAGAACTGTATTAATATTTTCTATCTTCTTTGGAGTCCGTATAGCTTCTATACAGTGAAATATGACCAAGTATTAGATGTCTATGGAATGTACATATCCAAAGGGGAATATCTTTTTACTTTTTATTATGTATGATAAGATCCATATGCCCTTGAAAGATTTTTTTTGTTACAAAGCAAAAGCTAAAATTAGGTTGGGTGGTTCTGGAATTCTTAGAAATAATAAAAATGTGACGAAAATGAATTTACCAAAGATTTCCACACTTAATGAATCATATTTTTTATGGATTACTAACAAATTTTGTCCTTGCATGACAAAAAAATGACTGAAATTCCTGAAAGAGATAAAGTTATCCACATTTTTATGAGATTGTGATACATGCCCTAGAGTACCATTAGAAGTCAGCTTGAGTAAGTACATAGCCAATTCATATAAATGACCATTAACCTATGTTAACCTAAACATAAAATAGAATTCATTGGTCATTTCCTTTAAGTAAATATTCACTAAGTGGAATAATTATTAACAAGAAAGAAAAAAGGTCTGACATAATATGAATCAATACTAAATAAAAACAACTCCATTTTCTTTACATCACTTTTTATTATAGATTTTGACCTTTACTTTGTAAATGTGCTATAAAACATAAGATGCTGCTATTCTTCATTCCAATAGCTCTTCTATAAGAATACAATGTCCCTGGTACTGGCACAAAGACAGAAATATAGATCAATGGAACAGAATAGAAAGCCCAGAGATAAATCCATGAACCTATGGTCACCTTATCTTCAACAAAGGAGGCAAGGATATACAATGGAAAAAAGACAACCTCTTTAACAAGTGGTGCTGGGAAAACTGGTCAACCACCTGTAAAAGAATGAAACTAGAACACTTTCTAACACCATACACAAAAATAAACTCAAAATGGATTAAAGATCTAAATGTAAGACCAGAAACTA